TATATGTCAAGAGATGTTCCAAACGGAAAACAATGTATTGAGAAAACTGCCAAAACAGATAAACTCGTATTTGATTTGAATTGCTTTTTTTGTTTTGTTTTTTATTAGAAAAAAGAAAGCCATGTACTTGTGAAATTTTGCAAGATCAAACATGATCGAAACAAACAATTCAACGATCTCTTTTAATATTACATGAAGTTCAGTTTCATCACTCTGTTTTCAAGTAGTTGACAAGCTCATCAAACGCATTGTACGAGGAGCCTCCCTTTCTCACAGAGGCTTTGACCTTCTCTTTTAAAGCAAGTGCTCTTTCCCTCATGCATGCACCTTCTTCATCCACAAGCAACCTCCTAACAGCTCTCTCAACCCTTTTTCTTTTAACTTCACCTTCAAGCTGAATCCCTACACGCCAAACACTTTCTATATACATTGCGTTTATCTTCTGTTCCCCCTGAAAAGGCCTGCAAATCATTGGAAATCCCTCCACAATACTCTCAAGTGTTGAGTTCCATCCGCAGTGACTCCAGAAGCCACCCACTGCATGATGTGCAAGTACTTCATTCTGCGGCGCCCATTTTACGATGTATCCTCTTTCTGAGACCATCTTACTTACTTCCTCTGGCAACGACACCCAGCCAGGGATAGAGCCTGGTCGGATGACCCATAAGAAAGGCTGGTTGCTATCACACAATCCCAAAGCCATCTCCAAAACTTCCCTTGTTTCTATGTGAGCTACGCTTCCCAAGCTTATGTATATGACTGACCTTGGTTTCTGCTTGTTCAGCCATTCAATGCAGGTCCTGTCTTCTTCCACTAAACTTGAAGGCATTGAACCTGTGATGTGGAAAGGGCCTAACGGATACACCGGGATTCCAAATTCTTGTTCTAGCCATGACAAAGAAGAGTCCTCTAGACAGCTCACCGTGTTGATGATAACAGCGAAAGCTGTTTTTTTGTTGACCATCTCATTAAATAGCTCCAAAACTCGGTCTAGTGGCCCTAGTCCTGAAACCGATAGGTCTTTGAATCTCAATAAGTGCAATTTTTTCACCACCTTGTCTTGCACGTCATCTGCAAAGTCAGAGACAAAAAAAAAAGTGTTTTAGTGAAATGAGTTTGTTTCAAATAGGTTACTATTAAGCTTATTTGAGCACCTTCCATGTCGGCCAAGAACTTCTTTGTATTGAGGTTTCTTAAAACACAGCGTGAAGCTTGATTTGTAGCACTTTGTGTGCTGAATATGACACTAGGAAGCTTGAACTCCTTGGCTGCCGCTTCACAGAAGTACATGAACTCGTCGTAGATGATACATGCAATATCATCGCCATGTTGCACCAACAACTGACCTATACAATCCTTGAAGCTCGCCTCACTAGTTTTGTTGAGCTTCAGCAGAAACTCGGTTGGTCCAAGCCTCTCGTATTCAGACTCTGGTAAGCTTTCTGGTATGGTGACAAACTGAAAATCTGGGAAGTCATGTTGTTGAGAAGAAGAGCTTACTTGATGGAAGTGTCCTTGAATAACTGTAACTGAGAAGCCCTTCACGTAAACGGCTTTCCCGAGTTGCATAAAGGGGGTTACATGGCCTTGTGCTGGAAGTGGGACTAACACAATCCTTCTCTTTGGTTGCCTTGTCTCCATTTCTCTTGCTCCTTCATTTCATTTCTCAACGGAGAACAACACCATAAATAAGTGATTCAAATCATTATTAAAATCCCATTTGTACTAGATATATTCCACAATCATCCAAAAATTGCCATTTAATATAGTCAAGTTTTTCTAACTTGGCAAGCAGTAAGCGGCAAGCAACGACTTCTTTGTCATAATTAATGCAAAGTAAAGAAGCATGTGTTTTGTTTGTTTCTTTATTTTGCCTCGCCTAAGATTTTGATTTCGTTTTAATTTAATATTTTCTCTAATTATAAGATTTTGATTTTGTGCTATTATTGCATCGTTGGCATGAGCTGTCTAAAAATTCTATTATATATTCAATCCGTTCAAATTAGTTGTCGTTTTGGAAAAATGTATCTGCGATTATTTGGATGTATCTACAATGCAAAACATGTTCAGATACATCCAAATATTTGCAGATACATTTTGCCAAAACGACAACTAATTTAAAATTGGGTAGTATATTTTTTCCCTTTGCGTTATGGCATTCAAAGTCCAAACTAATTAAATATGAATTTTAAGATGGAAGGTCTCGTTGACTTAATTAAACGTTCTCCTCATATTACTTTCGTGGCATCATTGATGATTTCCTCAAAATAGTATCAAAACTATCTAGAAACTGCAGTAAATAAATAATAAGTACATAGCTTTCTTAGAATCCACGCAAGTTATTCATCCACTTTCAAATTTATTCGAAAAGCCTTTTTCTTTAACCTTGTGTGTTCACTGGCAGATACGGTGAAGTACTGAACTCAACAAAGACTAATTTCAAGTTCGCTTCACAGAGTCCTCAAGAAGTGTACAAACTCCTCCAACGACTTGTGTGAAGAACCTCCACTTCTAACAGAGGCTATCAGTTTCTCCTTCAAACTGAATGCTCTCTCCCTCATCTCCTCTCCTTCTTCGTCCACCATTAACCTCTTCACAGCTCTCTCGACCACTCCTCTGTCTAGCTCACCCTCCACTTGAATCCCAACTTTCCAAACACACTCCAAGTACCTCGCATTCACCTTTTGATCAGTAGAAAACGGCCTACAAATCATTGGAACTCCTTCCCCGAGGCTCTCTAGCGTCGAGTTCCATCCACAATGACTCCAAAACCCTCCTACCGCAGGATGAGCAAGTACTTCTTTCTGCGGAGCCCATTTCACAACGTAACCTCGACGAGAAACCATCTTAAGAAACTCCTCAGGCAAACACTCTATCCATTCTGAATCACGTATTGAGCCTGGTCTGATCACCCACAAGAAGTGTTGGTTGCTACTATCCAAACCTGAAGCAGTTTCCATCACCTCATTGACTTCCATCAAAGCTAAGCTTCCCAAGCTTATGTATATCACCGAGTTTACCTTTTGTTTGTTCAACCATTCGATACAGCTCTTGTTCTCTTCAAGCAGACTCGTAGGAGTTGAGTCAACCATGTGAAGAGGACCTATAGGATAAACAGGAATCTCTAGTTGTTGTTTTAGCCAAGAAATAGATGAGCTCTCTAGACAGCTTGCCGTGTTGATTATCACAGCGGAAGCTGCACGTTCATCAACTGTATTCCTATACAGCTCAAGTATGCTTTCTAATGTGGCCCAACATGAAACCGGGAAGTCTTTGTATCTCAGGGGATGATACTCAGGCACTAGCTCATCTTGCTGTCCTTTGGAATCTGCAAGAAAATGTCAAAACCATACAGTTACAAAACTACTGACGCTTGCAAAAACCAGAAATCAAGAATTCTAGAGCACCTTTCAGGGGAGCCAAGACATTGTTTGCATAGAGTTTCTCGAAGACAGAGCGACAAACAAAAGTCGTTGCATTGGTAGTGCTGAAAATAACGTTTGGAAGCTTAAACTCCTTGGCTGCATCTCCAGCAAAGTACATGAACTCGTCGTAGATGACACATGAGATCTCATTACCTTGTTGTACCAACAAGTGACCCAAACAGTCCTTGAAGCTCATCTGACACTCTTTGTTGAGTTTAAGCAGAAACAGTATTGGCCTGAGATCGTCGAAATCAGACTCTGGTAAGCTCTCTGGAATGGTGACAAACTGAAAATCAGTGAAGTCATCTGAAGGGTTAAAGTAATTGAACTTGGTCTGAGCAATTGTAATTGAGAAACCCTTCGAGTGAAGAATTTTTGCAAGCTGCATCATTGGAGTTATATGTCCTTGTGCTGGTACTGGAACCAACACTACCCTTCTCCTCGTTGGCTTTTCCTCCATTTCAAGAACCTGCAATAAATACCAAGAAAAAAAGTCTGTTCAGCTATATGCTTCAGAGTATACTTACTTTGTTCCTCTATTTTTTTTTTTTTGCAGTAACGTATATATGATATTTATTGATTTTCAGGCTTGTGGACATTGATTCATCAGTATTACGTTTTTTAGGTCTATTCACCAGGTGTTAGGCATGTGGTTGATAGTGTATGTGTGTACGATGAGGCGGTTACAGAAGCAAAGATGCCTATGTCTTCTTCTTGGTCATCTATTGTCGTATTTGGCTTCATATCAAAAGATAATTCCAAATCGTAAAATCGTCTTTTTCTTCTCATGCAGCAATTCCATCTTGAGAAAACTGCCTAAAAGAGATAATGGTATCTGATTTGAATTGGTTTTATTTTGGATAGAAAACACACATCCTTTGTAATTATTTGGCAAGATCAAGCCTGATCCATACAAGTCATTAATGATCTCTAAAAATATATGTAGGTTCACTCTGTCGTCAAGTACTTGATGAGCTCATCCAATGCGTTTGTGATGAATATAACATTCCAATAGAAATCATTTAACTATAAGATCACATAATATTTCTTACAACTTAGTGAATACATGTTTTTTTTACATTCACCGCAAAGGTGCCAAAAACATATAATTTATTTGATAAATACCGCGTAAAAGGGATACTCGCATTTTATTTAGATTCCTTTTTATTAGAACAATGAAAAAAAACATGATTAAAAAAGCATGTACTTCGTAAAATCTTTCAAGGTCAAGCTTGATTTTTTTTTATGGTACCTGAAGTTCATGAGCTTAATTCCACTTTCTCCAAGTACTTGACAAACTCATCCAATGCATTGTACGAGGAGCCTCCGTTTCTCACAGAGGCTTTGACCTTTTCTTTTAAAACTAGTGCTCTCTCCCTCATACTTGCACTTTCTTCATCCACAAGCAACCTCTTCACAGCTCTCTCCACAACTCCTCTTTCAACTTCACCTTCAATCTGAATCCCTATCTTCCAAACACTTTCTATATAGATTGCATTTAACTTCTGCTCGCCGTGAAAAGGCCTGCAAATCATTGGCACTCCTTCAGTAACGCTCTCGAGTGTTGAGTTCCATCCACAATGGCTCCAGAAACCTCCCACTGCAGGATGTGCTAGTACTTCCATCTGTGGTGCCCATTTCACAATGTACCCTTTTTCTGAGACCATCTTACTGACTTCCTCTGGCAATGGCTCCGAGCCTTGTCGGATGACCCATAAGAAAGGTTGGTTGCTATCACACAATCCCAAAGCCATCTCCGAGACCTCCTTCGTTTTCATGGAAAGTACGCTTCCTAAACTTATGTATATGACTGACCTCGGTTTCTGCTTGTTCAGCCATTCGATGCAGCTCATGTCTTCTTCACGTAAACTAGATGGTGGTGGAGCTGTAATGTGAAGAGGGCCTAAAGGGTACACTGGAATTCCAAGTTCTTGATCCAGCCATGCCAAAGAAGAGTTCTCTAGACAGCTCACCGTGTTGATGATAACAGCGAAAGCTCTTCTTTCCTTGACTACATCCTTGCAGAGATCCAAAACTCGCTCTACTGGCCCCATATCGGAAACCGGTAGCTCTTTGTATCTTAATGGGTGCAAATTTTCCACCACCTTGTCTTGCGCTTGAGGATCTGCAGAGTCATAGACAAAAAAAATGTTTTAGTGAAATGAGTTTGTTTCGATATTGTTTTGTTTAAGCTTAATTGTTTTGAGAACCTTCCATGTTGGCCAAGAACTTCTCAGCGTTGACTTTGCTTAAAAAGGTACGGCAAGCTTGATTTGTAGCACTTGAAGTGTTGATGACGACACTAGGAAGTTTGAATTCCTTAGCTGCAGCTTCAGAAAAGTACATGAACTCGTCGTAGATGATACATGCAATATCATTGCCATGTTGCACCATCAAATGACCAATACAGTCCTTGAAGCTTGCCTTGCTAGTTTTATTGAGTTTGAGCAGAAACTCGATTGGTCCAAGTCTCTCGAACTCGGACTCTTGTAAGCTTTCCGGTATGGTGACAATTTGAAAACCAGGGAATTTTTGAGAAGAAGAGCTTACTTGATTGAAGTGTCCCTGAACAACTGTAATTGAGAATCCCTTCAAGTCAAGTAATTTCCCCAGTTGCATCATTGGAGTTACATGACCTTGTCCTGGAGCTGGAACTAACACTATTCTTCTCTTTGTGTTCATTTTCTCCATTTCTCTTGCTCCTTCCTTTCATTTCTCAATGGAGAACAACTCTATAAATAAGTGATTCAAATAATTATTAAAATAAAATCCCAATTGTATTAGATATATTCCACAATCATCCAAAAATTTCCATTTAATATAGTTAAGTTTTTCTAAAATCTGGTGAATAGAGCTAAAAAAACGTAATACGGATGAAATAAAAATTGTACTAGGATTTAACCCGCACAAATGTGCGGGGAAAACTTTTACTTTTTTTTTTATATGAAGCAGTTATGACGTTGTTATTCTAATTGTGAAAGTTATAATGCCCTATTTTAACCATTGAAAGAGGGTAGAAAAAGTTCTATATCTTGATAAATAAATAGAAAAGAAATAGATGAAAATGTTGAACTAATATGTGTAGCCATTGAAAAAAGTAATAAAGTTTAAAAAGCTGGAAACATTTAACATTTAACAAATGTAATTCTAAAAGTTATAAGTTCATATTAAAACTCACGAAAGAGGGTGGAGAATGTTCAATAGCCTCATAAATATATAGAAAAGAATTCGATCACAACGCACACACTAATGTGTGTGACTTAAACGTTTAATAGAGTATAAAAAGGTTCAAACATTCAAAAGAATAATAGATTTTTAAAAAGATGGAAACATTAAAATAAGGTACGAATAGCAAAGTGTTGAGCTTGCAACATGATCCCTTCGTCTTGTGTTGTAGTACAGATCTTGCTCTTCACACAATGCGATTGCGATTATGAGCGATGAAGTGTGCTTCGGCAGTGTTAACTGTTTGTGATAGTGATTTTAAATGCTGAGAAGATATCATAAACCTGTTACATAAAAAAAGTTGTAAAAGTATTAGAAATGAGTTGGTCTATCTATCAGCACTGCCAAAATCATTCGGTGTGGGTTTATTTGCACTTACTTGTCCTTCAGTTCTTGCGCAAAGGGAAAACGTGGATCAAATTCGAATCTTGAAATACCACCTTCATCAACAACATGATTCCATCCTATTCATAAAGTAGGACACCATTATAACTACCTAAACGTATGATTACATCAATTAAAAAATCCAAAGTCAATATATAGGGCTTACCTTTGCTGGAGATAGCTATCCCGTCCGTTAACTCACATACAACCACATCATTTGGGATTCTATGGTACATCTCATAGAAATCGGTAACGATCTTCCCACTTGCAGAACATAGCAGTTCTCGATTCCTAAGAAAAGTATAAGAACATTAATGTGCTATTTGATGTCCTAAATAAGATACAATTCATCACATATTTTTGTTGTTAAAGTACTTACTGGAGATCACGGATGCGAAAATTGACTTTGGATTTCATTTTGTTTCGTGCACCAAAAATCTCATCCCTCACCGTGTGAAGAACTCCAACATAGGAGACTACACCTATCAAGTCTGTAGATCAATGGTAAATGTGTTCAAGAAAAGTCGATGTATTAAAAGAATGAGATTTAAAAAAGAAGGCTTACTAATAGGTAATGCATAATTAGCACGTAAGAACGGCTTCACCTGGGTGCACAAAGAAACAGGAAGCGCGATCTCCATTGCCATATTATCAACTCGAAATATTATGTGGAACTGCTTTTTGGTCGTCGCGGATGTTTTACGGTTTCACCTCAATGACGCATTATATAGGTGGGCACTCCCACGACACTCTAGGGTTTAGGATTTTGAATTATATATTTTTTTTTCTCCAAAGATAAATAATTAGATATCAATCTAGGATATCTAATATTCTTATTTCTCACCGAATTGAATATACGATTTCCATATATTGGGCGGGATTTAATATAGATGGAATTCGAATTAGTATATTGGGTTATAACTACCCCTTAAATATCGCCAGTACGATCACGTATGAGATCGTGCGTGATTATTGTAAGATCCATCGAATATTCGAATCGTCGGTTATGGGATACGGTATGTCCCGGTTTGTGAATTTCGATTTGATTCTCAGAGATCGGTCTGATTCTAGTTGTTTCCAACCCGCATGTTTTTTTTGTCAAAATCGGGTCGGGTTTTCTGCGTGTTTCTGAGCGAACTCGCTTGACTCGGTTTTTGTCACCCGGAATTGCCCCTGATATTTTTGTTTCCAAACACTTTTTGTTCGTATTCTTAGTGGCATTTTTATAATAAGAAGCTTTTTTTCGGGTATCTCTTTTAAAACTGACGTCTGAGATAACGTTTGAAATAATAAACGGTATCATGTGGCCCTTTTATACTTGATTAAAGAGGTAAGGGCCTTTTTTAACAAAAAAACAATCGGATTATTTGGAGCCATTCTTTATTAGTTTCGTAGTTTTCTCGTGGTGGGCGATGATGTGTCTCTCTCTCTTTACTCTCTACATTATTGCGATCGAAAGTATCACTGCTTTGAGCAATACTGATCGTGGTTACTTAGAGATTGTTAGGTGTAAACTGATTATGCAGACACCTACTTTATATAAAATGGTAAGTAAGAAAACAACAAAATATTTGAGATGATTTATAAGAAACTTGTCAGATTGATTTTTCTAAGACGAAATTACTTATTGGGTCGCTAATTAGTGACCATGTGTTATCGATCATATCACTACAAAAAAAGGGTGGATTGTATCACTTAAATTGTATCACAAAGCTGAGTGATACTATTTTAAATTATTTATTTGTAAATGATACAAATATGCATATTTTAGCATCAATTATTAATAAGTGATTTTGTTATTGACTAATTTGGCATCAATTCAATAAATTGATATAATTTCTATTAATTTGTATCACTTTAACAGAATTGATGTAATTATATACATTTACATCAATTAGATAATTGATGAAACTTCTTTTTGTCGGTTGACATCATTTATTAAAATGATACAAAATTTTCATCAGTTAAAACTGATGCTAAGTAAAATTATATTAGTACCATAAAGTTACGTAACTGTATTTTTCTTTGATTAACATCAGTTCAATAAAAAATGATGTATTTTATGTTAATTTGCATCAGTTAAAACATTTGATCACTAAGGGTCTGACTGGTTTAACCGCTGCGGTTGCGGTTGCGGGAGTTTGCGGCTGCGGGAGTTTGCGGAAGCGGGAGTTTGCGATTAAAAGCTGTTTGTACGACTGGTATAGCAATTCATAGCGGTTGCGTTTGCGGGATATTTTTGACTGGTTAGCCAGCGGGTGCAAGAGCGGTTTAACCAAAAGTTACTAAAATAAAAATAATATATAATTATTCAAAACATTTATAACCATATTAATAATTTTTTTTTTGAAATATATTTTTTGATGAATTTTTAATTTGAAAACTACCCTTTTTTTTGGTTTTGAAAAATACACTTTTTATATGTAAAATGATTATTCCTAATTTAATAAAAACGAAATTCAAATAAGAAATATAAAATATTAATATTTGATAATAATTTTGTATCATTTTAACATCCTAATTACCTGTTTAGTTTTTTTTAAACAATTTAATAAAAATATAAGATTGTTTATATAAAGTTTAAATGGGGTGAGATTAAAGTTGTTTATGCAAAGTTTCAAAAATATTTAAATTTTTCAAAAGATAAACATTAAAAATGAAAGATATATTTCTCCACTTTTAAATTTTTAATAATTTATAAACTTTAAATATATGTAAAGTTTTAATTTATTTAAAGTTTCATTTGGTTTGAATGTGTATGAGGTTAAGTTGTTTATATAAAGATCCAAAATATTAAAATTTGTTTCAGTTTAACATATACTATATTTATTTGAAAAAAAACTTATTAGTTTATTATTTTTTTAAATTTTCGTTTATAATTTGTAATTATTTATTATTTTTTTGTTTAAATCACGTCAAAACATACTTTTTACATTTTAAAAGTGTATTTTTCAAAACAGAAAAAATTTAGGGTATTTTCGAAATTTTTAAACATAATTATGGTATTTTTCAAAAAAATATACCCTTATTCCAAATTTGGAGATATTATGTTTTTTTTTTTTTTTTTTCAAACCGCAACCGCCCGCAACCGCAAACGCTTGCGGAAAGGAGCTTTTGATTTTCAGCGATATAGAGCGGTACAGAGTGGTATAGAGCGGTTGAAAGCGGTTGTCGTGATTGTTATAAAACGCTAAGAACCGCTACGAACCGCAAACGCTGCGTTTGCGGGTGGTAGCGGGAGAACCAATCATCACCTAAATAAAAGTCTCTAGTACGACTTTAAGTTGTTGGCACTAATCTGTGTATGAAAAAGTATGACTACTTATCTGAAAATGAAAAAAAAAAAAAAAAATCCCGCTTAAATTTGACGAAACAAATTAAATGGCATAACAACAAATAAGAAAACCCTAGTTTTTTTTGTGTAATCTTCTTCCATCGTGCCTCTTCCTCTCTTTTTTTGTTACTCTCTTTCTTTTGGGATCTCACATATCAATTTCTTTCTTTCTTCATAATAGAATAAGAATCCAGAGTACCAAATTGTGAGAGATATTGATTTAGTTCTATGTTTTCAGAAGTTTTCCTTTGATCCATTTAGTGTTTTCCATCTAACCTCATCTTTTTGTTTCTATTTTTCTGAGTTTCTCAATTTTGAATCCATTACTATACGTGTCAGTATAAGTTTAACAGATCTAATTCTTAAAACTTTTGTTTGAGTCTTGTAGATAAAGAGTGTGATCGAGAAACTTTTGTCTCCAATTTTCTTATCCAGCAGTTTGTTTGATTATTGATTTTAAAAAGTCAGAAAGCTAAGAAAAAACTCTGAATTATTGCTTATGTTTATATTTTTTTCTTCTCAGGAAATGGATGATGGTGCCAATGGATATTCAAGTGTTGGAAAGTGGAAACTGGAAACCATGGCAGTGATCGTGATCAACAATTTTTAGCAATATTTTCTCAACAAATTTGATGAATTATGTAATTTTTCTTTTTTTTAGTACATTCATTAATTTAGATTTAAGTTTGTATTTAATTAGTTATTCGTTTCCATCTGTTTCAATAAATAAATAAAACATACTAAACCATTTTCGTTAATATACCACTAATTTACAGATAATGTATAACTTTTGTTATTTTAAATCGGCAACTAAAAGTTAAATTATTATATTAAAATTAATTTGAGAAACTGAAAATAACTTTAAATTGGTTATTATTAGGTAATATAAATAATTCAAATCGACATTAATATTAACATCATTTCAAAAAAATGATGTAAAATTTAACATCAATTTTTAGAACTGACACACATTAACATTGATTGTAACAAGTGATGCAAATATTTTATTTGTTTGCATCGGTCCATAATAAACTGATGTAAATTATTTGCATCACCACTTTTACAGTCATTCATCTAAATGATGTAAACTTTATTTATATCATTTATAATCAATGCAAATATATAAAATAAATGATGTAAAACACACTTATTTTATATATATAATAAATAAAATTTTACAAAACATATAATAAGTTATTTGTAGATATCTATCTTCGCTCAGTAATATTCATATTCATCCGATATTGGTTTTCTTTTTAACACATTTGATGTATTTTTTTTTTTTTTTTTGACTTAAAATTTGATGTATTTTTAAGTTGCTCATAGCTAAGCACCATCCAACCGAACCCAACCACACGGTCCAATCAACTTTTATGAAGGCCCCAATTTCTGCATAATAGAGGGTAAAAGAATTCTCAGATGGTATTACTGATTCAGGGGATTTGTCCCCTCCTGCTTTACCCAATGCTTTATCTACACTACGAGATGATACCTCAACTTTGGAAGCGACCACAGTTGTAACAGATGCTGAGGATGGTTCTAGTGTGTGTAGGTCTTTGGATACCGAAGCATTTCAGGGAAATGAAGACTATGTGGACGATGTTTTTATGAGAACTCAACGTGGACGTACTGTCAAGCCATCACAAAAGCTGCTAGAGATGGAATGGTCTACGGTCAAAGGTAAACGCGGTCGTAATGGCCGGGGCCGGGGTGGTAAATATGGCTAATTCCTCTCTCTTGCTCGAGTTATAGTTTCTGTATTTGGAACTTGTCTCCAATTCTCATATGTTTCAAGTAAATGTATGCTTAATCTTCTCTTTGTAACTCTCTAAAAACTGTATGACCTTGAGTCATAGCTGTAACCTTCGTTATTTAATTTGCAAACCCTTTGTCAAAAAAAAAAAAAAAAAAAAATTCTCAGAGCAATGATTTTCCAATAATTGAGTGTGCGAGAAAAGTTGTGAAAGGTAAGTTAGAGAATAACTCAAACTTATCTATTCTTTAATCTGAGTCATTGTTAATTCATCCAACATTAACCTCCTTCTAAACACGTCTTATGTATTCTCAAGACGCACTTATTTTTAAGATGGTGAATATGGTTGAATATTTTTGGTTGGTACTATCATAATCCGGAAATCATCCTTTGCTGATCATGCAACGTATATTAGCTTTGTTCCTCCTTACATGATCCAATTATATCATGACTTAAATAGAAGCTTGGATAATTCCTACGTCTCCAATAAGCTTAAAGTGGGTTACATGAACTTCTGATTACCCTAAATGCCTCTCTCCTAACCTGAAGAGTGTTCTGAAGAATAGAGAACCATTTTCGATAGGTCTTCAGCATACTCAGCTCGAATCAAGCTTGATCTTTTATATAAGTTACATGAAATTCAACATCTTTACTTCTTCTACAAGTAATTGACAAACTCATCGGGTGCATTGTACGACGAGCCTCCGCTTCTAACAGCAGCTTTGACTTTTTCTTTTAAAACTAGTTCTCTCTCCCTCATGCTTGCACCTTCTTCATCCGCAAGCAACCTCTTCACAGCTCTCTCCACAACTCCTCTTTCAACTTCAACTTCAATCTGAATCCCTACGCTCCAAACACTTTCTATATACATTGCGTTTAACTTCTGCTCGCCGTGAAAAGGCTCTCCCATGAGGCCCCAAGCAGCAAAAAAGTGCTGAGCTGGGTGCCTCTCAAGGCATCCAGGCAGCTCCTGTAATGTATTATAGATTCCTCTAATTATAAGATTTTGATTTTGTGCTATTATTGCATCGTTGGCATGAGCTACTGCCTAAAAATTATAACATATATTTTTTTTCCCTTTGCATTATGGCATGAGCTACTGACTTAGTTTGGACTTTCCCTTTGCAAAGTCCAAACTAAGGAAATATGAATTTTAAGATTGAGGTCTCGTGAACTTTATTAAACGTTCTCCTCATATTACTTTCGTGCCCTCATTGATGATTTCCTCAGAACAGTAGCAAAACTATCTAGAGACTGCAGTAAATAAATAAAAAAGAAATAAATAAAAAAGTACATAGATTTCTTAGAATCCACGCAAGTTATTCATCCACTTTCTAATTTATTCAAAGAACCTTTCTCTTTAACCTTGTGTGTTCACTGGCAGATATGGTGAAGACAACAAAGATTATTTTCTAATTCGCTTCAGAGTTCTCAAGAAGTGCACAAACTCTTCTAACGACTTGTGTGAAGAACCTCCACTTGTAACAGAGGCTATCAGTTTCTCCTTCAAACTGAAAGCTCTCTCCCTCATCTCCTCTCCTTCTTCGTCCACCATTAACCTCTTCACAGCTTTCTCGACCCCTCCTATATTTAGCTCACCTTCCACTTGAATCCCAACTTTCCAAACACACTCCAAGTACCTCGCATTCACCTTTTGATCAGTAGAAAACGGCCTACAGATCATTGGAACTCCTTCCCCGAGGCTCTCTAGCGTCGAGTTCCATCCACAATGACTCCAAAACGCTCCTACCGCAGGATGAGCAAGTACTTCTTTCTGCGGAGCCCATTTCACAATGTAACCTCGACGAGAAACCATCTTAAGAAACTCCTCATGCAAACACTCTATCCATTCTGAATCACATATTGAGCCTGGTCTGATCACCCACAAGAAGTGTTGGTTGCTACTATCCAAACCTGAAGCAGTTTGCATCACCTCATTGACTTCCATCAAAGCTAAGCTTCCCAAGCTTATGTATATCACCGAGTTTACCTTTTGTTTGTTCAGCCATTCGATACAGCTCTTGTTCTCTTCAAGCAGACTCGTTGGAGCTGAGGCCACTATGTGAAGAGGGCCTATTGGATAAACAGGAATAACTAGACGTTCTTGTTGTAGCCAAGAAAGAGATGAGCTCTCTAGACAGCTCGCCGTGTTGATTATCACAGCGGAAGCTGCACGTTCATCAACTGTATTCCTATACAGCTCAAGTATGCTTTCTAATGTGGCCCAACATGAAACCGGAAAGTCTTTGTACCTCAGGGGATGAAACTCAGGCACTAGCTCATCTTGCTGTCCTTTGGAATCTGCAAGAAAATGTCAAAACCATACAGTTACAAAATTACTGACGCTTGCAAAAACCAGAAATCAAGAATTCTAGAGCACCTTTCAGGGGAGCCAAGACATTGTTTGCATAGAGTTTCTCGAAGACAGAGCGACAAACAAAAGTCGTTGCATTGGTAGTGCTGAAAATAACGTTTGGAAGCTTAAACTCCTTGGCTGCATCTCCAGCAAAGTACATGAACTCGTCGTAGATGACACATGAGATCTCATTACCTTGTTGTACCAACAAGTGACCCAAACAGTCCTTGAAGCTCATCTGACACTCTTTGTTGAGTTTAAGCAGAAACAGTATTGGCCTGAGATCGTCGAAATCAGACTCTGGTAAGCTCTCTGGAATTGTGACAAACTGAAAATCAGAGAAGTCATCTGAAGGGATAAAGTAATTGAACTTGGTCTGAGCAACTGTAATTGAGAAACCCTTCGAGTGAAGAGCTTTTGCAAGTTGCATCATTGGAGTTATATGTCCTTGTGCTGGTACTGGAACCAACACTACCCTTCTCCTCGTTGGCTTTTCCTCCATTTCAAGAACCTGCAATAAAAACGAAGAGAAAAGTCTATTCAGCTATATGCTTCAGAGTATACTTACTTTGGTCCTCTATTTTTTTTTTTTTCAGTAACGTATATACGATATTTATTGATTTTCAGGCTTGTAGGCAAGTGGTTGATAGAGTCTGTCATTACGATGAAGCGGTTACAAAAGCAAAGATGCTCATGTCTTCTTCTTGGTCATCTATTGTCGTATTTGGCTTCATATATATCAAAAGAAAATTCCAAATCATAAAATTGTCTTTTTCTTCTCATGCAGCAATTCCATCTTGAGAAAACTGCCTGAAAGAGATAATGGTGTCTGATTTGAATTGGTTTTATTTTGGATAGAAAACACACATCCTTTGTAATTATTTGGCAAGATCAAGCCTGATCCATACAAGTCATTAATGATCTCTAAAAATATATGTAGGTTCACTCTGTCGTCAAGTACTTGATGAGCTCATCCAATGCGTTTGTGATGAATATAACATTCCAATAGAAATAATTTAACTATAAGATCACATACATAGGGATGAATATATTTCTTACAGCTTAGTGAATACATGTTTTTCTTACATTCACCGCAAAGGTGCCAAAAACATATAATTTATTTGATAAATACCGCGTAAAGGGATACATGTCAAGCTTGATTTTATTTTAATGGTACCTGAAGTTCATTAGCTTAATTCCTTACTTTCTCCAAGTACTTGACAAACTCATCCAATGCACTGTACGACGAGCCTCCGCTTCTCACAGAGGCTTTGACCTTTTCTTTTAAAACTAGTGCTCTCTCCCTCATACTTGCACTTTCTTCATCCACAAGCAACCTCTTCACAGCTCTCTCCACAACTCCTCTTTCAACTTCACCTTCAATCTGAATCCCTATCTTCCAAATACTTTCTATATAGATTGCGTTTAACTTCTGCTCGCCGTGAAAAGGCCTGCAAATCATTGGAACTCCTTCCACAAGGCTCTCGAGTGTTGAGTTGCATCCACAGTGGCTCCAGAAACCTCCCACTGCAGGATGTGCAAGTACTTCCATCTGTGGTGCCCATTTAACTATGTACCCTTTTTCTGAGACAATCTTATTGACTTCCTCTGGCAATGGATCGGAGCCTTGTCGGATGACCCATAAGAAAGGTTGGTTGCTATCACACAATCCCAAAGCCATCTCCAAGACCTCCTTAGTTTTTATGGAAAATATGCTTCCTAAACTTATATATATATGACTGATCTCGGTTTCTGCTTGTTAAGCCATTCGATGCAGCTCATGTCTTCTTCACGTAAACTAGATGGTGCCGAAGATGTAATGTGAAGAGGGCCTCAAGAGTACACCGGAATTCCAAGTTCTTGTTCCAGCCATGTCAAAGAAGAGTTCTCTAGACAGCTCACCGTGTTGATGATAACAGCGAAAGCTCTTCTTTCCTTGACTGCTTCCTTGCAGAGATCCAAAACTCGCTCTACTGGCCCCAATCCTGAAACCGGTAGATCATTGTATCTTAATGGGTGCAAATTTTCCACCACCTTGTCTTGCACTTCATGATCTGCAGAGTCAGACACAAAAAAAATATTTTAGTGAAATGAGGTTGTTTCGAATGGGTTACTATTGAACTTTATTTGAGCACCTTCCATGTTGGCCAAGAACTTCTCAGCATTGACTTTGCTTAAAAAGGTACGGCAAGCTTGATTTGTAGCACTTGAAGTGTTGAATACGACACTAGGAAGTTTGAATTCCTTAGCTGCAGCTTCAGAAAAGTACATGAACTCGTCGTAGATGATACATGAAATATCATTGCCATGTTGCACCATCAAATGACCAATACAGTCCTTGAAGCTAGCCTCACTAGTTTTGTTGAGCGTCATCATAAACTCGATTGGTCCAAGTCTCTCGAACTCGGACTCTTGTAAGCTTTCCGGTATGGTGATAAATTGAAAACCAGGGAAGTCATGTTGTTGAGAAGAAGAGCTTACTTGATGGAAGTGTCCTTGAACAACTGTAACTGAGAAGCCCTTCATGTAAAGGGCTTTCCCGAGTTGCATAAAGGGGGTTACATGGCCTTGTACTGGAAGTGGGACTAACACTATCCTTCTCTTTGCTTGCCTTTTCTCCATTTCTCTTGCTCCTTCCTTTCATTTCTCAATGGAGAACAACTCTATAAATAAGTGATTCAAATAATTATTAAAATCCCATTTGTATTAAATATATTCCACTATCATCGAAAAATTTCCATTTAATATAGTTAAGTTTTTTCTAAAATTTG